ATCCCACACTCACAATATCCAAGTCTATCTCCCGAGTTGTCGATTTCAAATATTGTTTTGGCTGATCAAATTGCGCGCAACCAATCTCCCTCCCCCCCTCTCTCTTCCTTCCTCCCTCCTCCCCTCCTCTCTCTCTCTCCTCTCTCTCTCTCTCTCTCTCTCTCTCTCTCTCTCTCTCTCTCTCTCTCTCTCTCTCTCTCTCCTGGCTTCGCATCTTCCTTGTCAGCCCAAGACTTTCTCTTCCGGCCCTTCGACACGCCCGGAAGAATGGACACACAAAATAGGGTACCAGGCACCTCCGCCAGCAGGACAAGGCGCGCTGGATATAAGGACGTCTCGTCAGGCAGAGACGAACAGCACCAGAAGCAGACCAAGACCTAGCAGAAGTCATAGGGCACGAGGCCGCCCTTGGCCCTCGCGGGGTCACTCTCGGGGCCACGCATTACCTTCCCAATAAACTCCTCATGCAAGTACCCTTTCATTCACCACCACCTCCACGCCCCCCAACTCTTACGTTGACACCATCTCTCACTCTCCCTCCCTCCCCTCCCTCTCTCTCTCTCTCTCTCTCTCTCTCTCTCTCTCTCTCTCTCTCTCTCTCATATATATATATATATATATATATATATATATATATATATATATATATATATATATATTATATATATATATATATATATATATATATATATATATATATATATATATATGTATATATGTATATGTATATATATTATATATATATATATATATATATATATATATATATAATATATATACATAGTATATTTATCGTGGCTTCCACTTACTTTTTGACACATGCATGCGAGGGTCGAGCCAGAGCAGGAACCGTGGCACTGGCTGTGAGGTCTCCGTTGAACTGACTCGCTGATCTGTCAAAGAGCTCATTCAGTAAAAATCTCATACGGACCACACGCCCGAGCCCAAGGACGGAACACGAGAGGGTTTGTGAAAAAAAAAAGCGGGCAGGTCAAATTTGTCGCTTAGTGGCGGGGGGGGGGGGGGGAGTTTAGTAGCCCTGGCAGCAGCTGCGGAGAGGTTGAAGTATGAGTAACCAATATATAATTTATGATTTTAGATTGTTTTTCAATGACAAAAATGCCTTTCAAAAGAGAGCTGTGTCAAGCGTGATAAATTACGGGTTTTTTAAGATCTTTTTTTTCATGACATACAGTGCCTTCAAAAGAGAGGTGCCAAGCGCGGAACATCATGATCTGTTCTTTTGCAGATTCCCAACACGGTGTAGTAGAGAAAATAAAGGTAAACAGTTTCCGATATGAAAAATCGTTTATTTTTAATTCCGTCTCCCCCCCCCCTCTCTCTCTCTCTCTCTCTCTCTCTCTCTCTCTCTCTCTCTCTCTCTCTCTCTCTCTTCTCTTCCTTATGTGTATGTAGGACAGATATCGGTACCCTGCACTGTCCCTCATTTTCCCCTTTTTCTCGTAAATTCACCTTCGTTTACACATACCGTCTCTCAAACTGCATTTCCGTTTTAGCAACGTCGACCAATGTTCACGCGCACATATACTATTATTACCCCCTCTGTATTCCCGTCCCTATTTTGCAACAATGGCGAAAAGAGGTTACAGATTAATACAAAAACACACACGCCCTCAGAGCACACATGCGCACACGTACTTACTCTTGAAACACCAAGGCTGCTTACAACGGAAGGCGTGTGGCCTCTGGTTCGTGTTGGTCCCTCGTGCAGCGTAACCCAATGCAGACTTTAGCTCGCGTAGTGCTCCTCTTGCAACCAAATCACTGCTGGGAGTACATTCATCCTTCGCCCAATACTCCTGACATCTCGGGAAACGATGCACGTGCAGGGGTACCCCTCCAAGGCACGCCCGACATCCCGGGAAACGACGCCACCATGACCAGCCCCTCGTTTTGCCCAGAAATGTTTTCCACGACAACGGCCCGAGCGACAAGGATGCAGCCGTCGGCCAAACAACACACTCAACCGCAAACGACCCAGCAGTGTTACTTTGCCCTGTTTGTTTATATACCGCATTTCTCGCCAAAAAAGACACACCGTATATCACCTTTTTCCTAATAAAGAAGAGTGAGAGAGAGGAGAAGCAACGCGAAAAACATACGGCAAGTGGGGACAGGTGAACAGAAGCAAAAGAAAGTCATGTCAAATCGAAGGTCAGGCAGTTTGTGCGAACAGTGGAGAGCAGTGGAAGGAAAGAAAAAGAAAGGAAAGAGAAAGAGAGAAAAAGAGAGACGAGGCAGAGAGTGACGGCACGGCGCCTGCGTCGCCCTCCACGAACTCCTCGCCCACGCTGCTGCCGTCGCCGCCGCACTCGCTGCTCCACTTTCGCTGCAAAATCAACACCGGTGCGTGGAGCCGTCCACGACCGAGCGCGGCACCTTCTTCTGGAGGAGCTTCTCGAGGAGGTTGAGAAGGAAAAGGTGGATAAGGGAGGAGGAGACCGGAAAGGTGGAGGCTGTGAGGGAGAAAAATTTATAT